CACCGTCTGTCCACCCCTCCCTAGCACCGCGTCTGGCATGCAGAGGTCATGTTGAACAAACTGGTGAACAAATGAGTGAGACTTATTCCAGGCCGGCAGGGGCTTTGGAGACCCTAAGGCATGTGGGGCACCCCAAGCTGGACCTTGAGGCTGCTGAGTGAGGGGCAGTGGAGACTCGCCAAGCTGAAATCAGATCCAATTCGTTGCTAACAGTTTTGTGTTAGTTGCTTAACATCTGTGAGGTTTCTCTTCCGGAAAATGGGAGCAGGAGCACCTACCTTACTGGGGTGTCACTGAATGGACAAGGTAATTCAGAAGAAACTGGCAGGGCAGATTCTGTCCCTAGCGCTAGGAATTGTCTGCCACACTCAATAAGTGCTTGTTAAAGGAATGAAGGGCTGACATAAGAGCTTGATACCTATCAGCGAGTTCATGCTGCCTCTGATGTCAGATGCACGATTATTTCCCGAAGCATTGAGAAAGAAAAGTTGTTTAAATATTGCGAATGGAGCCATAGCCCATTGCTCTCATATCACCTGGAATTTTCATATTATACCTACTCAAAGATCTCTTTTAGGCTTATTAGGACATAGATATAAAAAAAAAAAACATCACTATTGAGTTTACATCAAAACGGCAACTATCAGCGCAATCAATCAGCACTGGAGGTATTCCTAAAACTTCTTTGAGGTCAGAGGCACCTCTCTCAGTGGACACCCTCTAAGCTGCTCCTCCCCTGCGAATTTCTGTGCCTTGCTGAAGGTCACCCCCCCTCCCCAAGCTGCTCCTCCCCTGTGAATTCCTTGGCCTACCTGAAGGACTCCCCTCCGTGGTCTTCCCATCCAGAGTTGGTGCCTGAGAGGCCAGAGGCCACCACTGTCCACTGGAATGGCTGGATAACCTCGGCAAACCTGTGGGAGTGTGTGGGGGGTTACATGGGGCATCCATGACACCCACAGCCTCTGGTACCCTCACCCCCATCCCAACTGCCAACTGTCATGGAAACCAGACTTTAGAGATGGGAAGATGCTGTGTTAAAGTTGAGACCTACGAACTCTACTGTGTAAGAGCTAAGACAAATTGAACTTCTGAAGTCACACCAGTAAGGGTCCCCCTTTCAAAGTCAGAGAGATCCCAAGAGGGAAGGCCCTGCCCTGGAGAGGCCTCTGACAGTCCTGGTGCAGGAAGTTGTGAGTGGCCAGGGTACCAGAACAGGGGTAAAGAGCTGAGCCAGACTGAGTCAGCAACTGCTGGCCCTGTGGCTGCAGTTACCTTCCTGCCCTGCCCAGCGGAGCGAGGAGTCCCAGCTCTCTTACCTCCCTATAGTGGGGTTGGGGAGGTGGCATTGGAGAAGTTTTCCTTCAGCTCCGAGATCTGGCCCCCGGCTGAGCTGGAAGGGAGGGTGGGGGCGGTAGGTGGGACCACTGGGGAACCCAGCCTGGACAGAGGGCGCAGAGGTTCCCAGCATCAGCTAGTCTCCTCCGTGGACACAGGAACCCAAAGTGGGCTCAGGGGATGTCCTTTGCGTTCTTTTTCCGGTACTGTCATTTCTAGGGCAGAGGCTCCCTGACCTGTAGAAAGGAAATCAGGCGGAGGAGCAACAGAAAACAGAGGAGGTGCCAGGTTTCTGCTCGAACCCTGGAGCTCCAGGAAGATAGGGAGAGACAGCCAAGTGGAGGTGCTCACTCCAGGTTGAGAGGACCACATTTTGGCCACCCCTAGCCGGCCCTGCTCGGTTTTCCTGTAGCACAGTAAGACAGTGCCCTCTGGTTCCAGGGGACAAAAACTTCAGATTCCGCTGTTGTCGACTTGGGCCAGGACCCGCGCTTCTTTATTTTTTTTTTTTTATTTTTTTTTTTTTTTCTTAGTCCCCACAAGTGACCCTCTAGGGGAATCCAGAACAGGGAAGGGAGCAAGCCAGAGGAATTTTTTTTTTTTTTTTTTTTTAGGTGAAGAGTCTGGGGAGGGATGGGGCGTCCCGCTCGCGACTGCGCTTGCGACTGTCCTCGCGGTGCGGGCGCTCTGCGTGGAGCCGGCGGTGAGCTGGAATATCCAAGCCGGCTGCAACTGGCCTTCCGTTTCCTACACGCTTCCTGCGTGCCGGGCCCAGCTGGGCGCCGCCCAGATCTTCTCTCTCCCGGGACTCCAGCTCCCCTTCCACTGACCAGGAGAACGTCTTGCTCCGAGCCAGGATCATACCAGTCGAGAAGCGACCCCCTCCCCCATCCCGGGCCGGGGCCCTTCTGCCAATCCTCCCCCCAAAGACTCCCTCATTCCCCAAGCCACCTTGAATAAAGCACAATGAGCGCAAACTTCGCGCCTCTGGGCGAACGCTGCCTCCAGTCTAATCCCAGCCTTCTCTCCGCCCCCAGCCCTTCGCGTCCCCAGGGTCCAGGCGGTTGCAGGCGCTCCCCACTCCCGCAGGGCCACAGCTCTCGCGAGACTCCTGAGCCCTCTCCTTCCCCTGGCTGCGGCCCCCGGGCTCCGGGAAGCTCAGCCACCGCCTAGGCCCGCGCCATATCTGGGTTTTGTTTCCCAGGAACTTGGGGATGAGAAGAGACTTGTGCATGGAGGGGAAGAGGAATGGGATTCAAAGGACCCTTTCTTCAAGCCCCGGGCCTGAAATGAGGGATGCGACTGCTGCCTGCAGACAGAGAGACAACCTCAGCGCTCGGTGGCTGGGGCGCAGTGGCACGCAGGGCGGGCGCCAGGTAGCTCCAGTCCGGCACGCGCAACCCGACAGACCGCGTCACCTTGGAAGACAGGATGCAGTCCTTTACCTAGAGTGGCAGCTTTGCGGGCTTGGTCAGCACGGGGTCTCTGGGCCGGCGGGCAATCATCTTGCCTCTGCGCCTTAGCTCCTTGGAGCGGGCCTGGAGCTTCCTTCGGGTCTCAAGGGTTCCACCAAGCAAGGAAGCCCTGAGCTGCCCAAACACAATGGCGTGCAGCCGGCTACTCTTCCCCGGTCTCGGGAACTCGGTCTGTCTCTGCTTTCCCTGTCCCGCCAAGGAGCACAGAAGTGAAGGCAGTGACAAAAACTCCACCCCTCCCGCACTGCAGGGCCTGGAATCTGGTCTCCCTCATTTGAGGCCCAACTTCCCCACTGACCCACAGGTGACCTCCGACCGGAGTTCCCGCATCAAGTTCCCCTTTGTGCCTGGAGGGGGCTGTTCCCGCTGAAATATTGGGGCCCTTGTGCTCTGACTCCGGATTGGCCGGACCCCCTCCCCCACCTGTCAGAGCCCTGGTCCTACAAAGACCACTAGGTCCAGAACAGCAAGGCACCTTGGGAAAAAAAGACTCACAGGGCAGCTAATCTGCCGAAGGTTGCCCTCCTCGGATTTAGTAAAACCGGAGAGCCCAGAAGAAACTGTGACTGATGCTGGTCAGATCCCCCTCCTTGCCCCTCTTGACTGGTGTAGGTACATTCTACCTTCTTCCACAACTCTGTATGATAGAGACATAGCTGGAAACCAGGTCCCTCAGGCCTCCCTTTCCACGGAAGTCAGACCTTCACTTCCTGTCCTTCCAAATGGAGAAGATTAAATGCAGTCAGGTAAGTCACTTGGCTGCTGGGACCAGTGCAGGCAGGGTGGCTAGGTTGAAAGACCTGGGAGTAACCCCAAGGCTGGAAGGGATTAGGGGCCACAGTCACACACTGATGGTTCATTCATTCCAGGCAGTCAGGGTTGGTTAGGTGTTCTGGCTTCTCAGGAAAAGCAGGCGAGTAGTCTGGTAGCTGTTTGCAAGGCTGAATTAAGAACCCAGAGTGAGCAAGAGCTGGTTTCCCACACCTGGCAGGACTAGGGTGAGGAAAGTGGCTGCAGCCCTCAGAAAGTGCTTGCTCTCTCCTTCTCCTCTCCCCACACTGCCCCCCCACCAAACCCCTCATTCCTTCAGGCCTTGAGGTTCCAGGAGGGGAAGTCAGAGCTGAGGTTCTGTGAAGAGCCTATCAAGCCAAGATCTGAAAGGCAAGGTGTTGCCACAATAGGTGGGGGCCAGAAGAGGTCACTTTCACATTCTGAAACACAAAACTTGCAGCTGAGTTGTTTGTTCCTGAATCTCTTTTTTTCTTGTGCCTAAATCTCTTTTCCTTTTTGAGCCTGGAAGGACCTGGCTTCAGGAACTCTGACCAAGTTTCATAGTCTTACTGAGCTTTAACCAGTAAAGTGGCCGTCGCTCCATCCCCACCTCTGGTCATCCTCCCCACCCCCAGCTTCAGGAAGCACGAGGACAGGAACCTACAGGCAGCCCTGAGCCCAGCCTGGACTGCAGGAAGACAACTGAGACCTCCATGAGAAGGGGGCACCTGAGGGCACACGCAGCCAAGCCGTGTCCCTGCAAGGGACCACCTTCCCTAGGCCGGTGTCAGCTGAGTCCTCTCTCTGCGTCAGCCAGGTGCCCTCACTGCCCGGAGCTGGAACTCAGGGGCCCAGGCGCTGCCGCCCCGAGTATCCTGCGGAAAACGTGAGAACTCTGGGGAGCCACTGCTGCCGCAAGGACCCGCGGGCGGGCTACCGCGCTGGTGGGGGCTCTGTCCAAACCTCGCGTCCTCGACTTCCCATCAGCCTCATAATGGGTTGGTGAAGACCATCTCAAGAACCGCACAAACTGGTACTTCAAGTCCCAGGAAACCGAAACAACCACCGAGGCGGCTGTCTGTCCGGACCACTTCCGGAGCGAGCTCTGCGGCGGACCTCTGGCTCCTGCTCCTTTGGGCACCCGCGGTGCGGCCAGACCGCTCCTGCCAGCGACTCTCTGGCTGGCAAGGAAAAGGAGGTGGAGTTCAGACTGGCCCCTCACGCCCAGAGAGGAAGCGATTCCTAGGATCCTGCAGCCACCGAGCCGCCCGCCGTGCCTAGCCCGGGCTTGGTGGCCACCGGCACAGCTGCCTTCGACAGAGCCGGAGGAAAGGAAGTTTAAGCAGCAACTGCCGGCGCTCCGCTTATCTTGCCGCGCCCACCCGCACCCACTGCGGATTCAGAAGCTGCTCCACCGAGCCCGATTGTGTCATAAAATATTTTATTGGAAAAAAAAAGTCACCGTCTTCGCAAGAGGGGGTAGGGGCCCCAGCGACATCGGGAACCCGCCTCCAGGCCGAGCCGACCGGTTGCCCCGGGGGTCTCAGGCCGTGGTGGCCTGAGCCCAACCGCCGGTCCCCGACGTCCAGAAGCGGGTGTGTGCCTGGAGGCTCCCCGGCCGGGAAGGCAGGCCCCAGACGGGGTGGGGGTGCAGGCGAGGAGCGGGGCGTGAATGCGCGTGGAGCGCTCTGCGCCACGGAGCTCAGGGCAGAGACGTAGCTTCCCCCGCGCTGGATGCGAGTCTCCCAGGTTAGAGCCCAGAAGCGCGCTGGGACCTGGGTCTGGCTTTAGGGTCTGTGTCCTTCCTCGTTTGGCCCCAGTTGTCCGCATTCAAGATCATCATAAAAAGATTTAGGAAGTAAACGTCTTGGACGCGGAAGGGCCGGCTCGCAGGTTTCCGCCGGGTGAGAGGGCTGCGGGCGGCGCGGGCATCCCGGGCCCGGCACCATATGCCGCCCTCAGTCCTCGCGGCTCCTGTCGCTGGGCTCGCCCGGCACCTCCGCTGGTTTCTCCGCATCCTTGGCGCGCTCCTGCTCAGTGAGCTGCTCACTCGTTGGAATTGAGTTCTTCTTGGGCCGCCCCTTGGGCTTGGTGGGAGACTCCAGGCCGCCGCCCTGCAGCACCTGCACGGGGGACCGCCAGCACCTGGGTGAGCCAGGACGTAGACTGGGGATCCCCGAGGAGACTTGCACCCAGGTGGGACTAGGGAGTACAGGAAACCGTATGAGGAAATGGTGGGGAAATGTCCCGGGAAATGGCGGCTATTTGTCCAAATGCCGCTGGGGAGCGGCCTGGCCTGGAGAGCATAAGACTGCCAGGAGGCCTGAAAGTGCCGCGAGAGAGGAAGAAATGTCGGCTTAGCCAGGCACCCAAGGGGCAGAAAGAGCTGAGAGAGTCCCGGTGGGTACCAGGCACCGAGGGAATGGGGAGGTTGGGCAGAGTCTCTGCGGGGAGAAGGAGGAGAGTAGCTCTGCATGGCACCGGGGCATGGCCCAGGAAGCCGAGGGGCGGGAAGCCACCAGGCACACTCACTATTTTCTTCCACTTCATCCTCCGATTCTGGTACCACGTCTTCACCTGCAACTGGCTCAGGCCCAGGGATTCAGCAAGATCTATTCTGGAAAGAGCAGGGCGCACCCTCAGCAAGGCAAGTGATCACACTCCCACAGCCCGCTGGCCCCAGCCTTGCCCCGTCCTACCTGTCCGGCGTGGAAAGGTACTTCTGCTTCTCAAAGCGTTTCTCCAGGCCCATCAGCTGCAGCTCGGTGAACACAGTGCGGCTCCGACGCCCCTTCTTGGCCTTGGTGCCTGGCTCCCCAGGGCCTGCCGCCTCCAGCTTCCCGCGGAGCTGCAACTCGAGTGGCAGGTGTGGTGCACCCGCGGCGCCGGGCAGCCCAGGCCCCGCCGCCAGCAGCGCAGAGCTCAGCCCTGAACAGCCCAGCGGCGCCAGTGGGAACTTGAACACCGCCGCCTGCTCGGCCTTCAGCACGGCTGCGAAGAGAATGGGGAGCCGGATGAGCTAGGACCGCGCTCCTCTACCCCAGAGACTGCCGCACCATGTGCCGACGCGGGTACTCGCGCTTGGCCGGTGCCACCCAGCGCAAAATCTCCACGCCCTGCCCCTCGGCGCCGGTGGCGCAGATGGAGACCCTCCTTAACGCTGCTGTTCCCCAGATCTGGGAGGGAGTATCTCTTCGACCCCGTCCGTGCTCTGTCCTGGAGTTCCCCAAGCCTCAGCGACTCTGAGATCTCGGGGTTCTTAATGAACATGTTTGCAGCTGCGGGAAACTCGGAGTGGTCTTGTCTTTCGGGGAAAGAAGAAACCAAAAATAAAACGGCAGCCGGTCCTAAGAAGATGGGCGTTTGCTCCAACCAAATCAGCACTGCTGCTTAGAAAAAGAATATGCACAGAGCAGGCACATTTGCTCTTCCGTGCGTGGCACAACAGCCATACGGTGGCTAGGAGTCATCTGGGCTGGAGTTGGGTGCTTCCCGGAAATTCCAAAGTACCCTGAGAACCTGGAAATTACTGTTGGCGTTTTCTATTTTCAGACGCTTCCCCATGAAGATGTTTCCATTTTCTTCAGTCCTAAAACGACTGTGTGCCCGCTTCAAACGAATTAGTAACAACAGAGCAGACGGAGATGAAAGGTAGCCAAATGGCGGAGTCCCAGATGGACTTAGAAGAAGCGCGCTGGCCCTGCCGTTTCCAGGCTAGGGAGCACCGACTGGGAGGTGGGGTGTCAGGGAACGCGACTTGAAGGGCTGGGGTCCCGGCTACAGCGTAGAAGCCTCCCTTCCCCGACAGGCCTGTCACTGAGGTGCGAGTCCTAGCCCGGCTGGAGTCGGAAAGGGTAGGGCAGGGCGCAGGTAAATGTGGGGCAGAGGACCCGCAGGGAAAAGGTAGGAGATGGAAGGCAGACCGACCCCAGTGAGAGAAGCCGAGGGAGGCCGACCCGCAGACGGCTGGAAAGCGAGACAGGAAAGACAAGACGAGGGTGGAGTGCGATGGAGAGGGCACCATCAGGGCAGGGCAGGCCCCGCCAAATTGGGAGAAAGGGCAGAAGCTGAAAAGGTCTGAGCAGGCCGTTCAAGCCCTGCAGAGGCCCAGCCGACCTGAAAGCAGAAGGGACAGCCAGGCAGCTGCTCACAGTCAGGCCTCTGACCCCGAGGCAAGGCCCAAGCAGGTCCGCACTGCGGCCAAGGCCGCGTTCCTCGCCCGCTGGAGCTCCCGGGGGCTCCGGGCCGCCTTGGGCCCGCGTCAGCACCCAGCCCTCGGGAGCGCAGGCCTCCTCCCCAGAGGTCCGACTTCCCTGTCTTGGGCAGCCGCGGCCACTCCCGGCCAGCCCTCTTCGGCGAAGCCCAGGCGCCCGTGGCCTGAGGTCGCTTCCACCGACAAGAGTCCATAGCCTGGTCGTGCGCCTGCAACCGGGATGCTCACTCGGGGTCCCCAGGCTGGAGGCCGAAGGGAAGCAGTGAAGGAAAGAGCGAACACCCTCCCCGGGCGGCCCGCGGGCACGAGGCCTGGTTTCTCTGAGGCCTGGCGTTTGCACCCTCCGCCTCCCGCCTGGAGGGCTCCGAGAGACAGTCCCAGAACTTGCGCTCCCAGAGCAGCTTCCCGGGGCTGCTTCGAGGCCGGAGGAGGCTCGGGGCGCCCCCGCGGTTCAGCTCGCTGTCTCCCGCCAAGCCCTGCCCGCGACCCCGCAGCCGCCACACGTACCCAGGTGGCTGTGGAAAGGCCGCGCCGCCAGCAGCGCCTGCACGCCGAACTTCAGCAGCTCGCCCGCCGCGGCCGCGGCGGCTGCGGGCGCGGCGCCCTTGGGTCCCGGTGGCTCCGTGAGGATCTCCTCAATCATGAAGCTGCGATAGCGGTGCGGCCGGTGGTCCGCGCAGCCCTCGGGCGGGGCCGAAGCGCGCGGCGCGGCTCCCGGCGCTGCATCGCGGCGCACGGCTGCGCCGCTGTTTGGCGGCGGCGCGGCTGGCCTCGGCGCGGGCCCGCGCGGACTTCTAGGCCGCCCGCACTCGGGGCCGGCGGCGCGGCGCCGCTCATGCCCTCCGCCGGCCGCCGGGCCGAGGCGCAGGGCCGCGGCGGGCGCGCCGGGCTCGCCGGTCGGGACCGGACTGCGCCGCCGGCGCCGCCGCGCTCTTGCCGGCGCCCGCGTCACTGCCGCCGCCGCCGCCGCGCCCGGCCCGCCGCCCCCAACCCCTAGGCTGAGCCGGAGGGAGGGACACAGAAGGGAGGGAGGCGGAAGGGAGGCCAGAAGGGAGGGGGCCGCGTGAAAGAGGCCGGCCGACCGAGACCGAGGGAGACCCAGCGGAGCGCACGCCCTGGAAAGAGAGAGCCGGAGAATTCGGGAGGCAAGACCCGCAGAGACGAGAGTCGGAGGGATCAACGACACAGGTGAGAGAGGGGGCAGAGGGAGACGGCGTGGGCCAAACAAGAGTCGAGAGAGTGTGGTGTGAGGGTACCAGGGACGCCACCGAGATGTGCACAGAGACCAAAAGAGGCGTGAGAGCCAGCGGGCTGTGACGTGACGGAGGGCACAGAGGCAGGCGGGGCAGAGGGAGGGGGCGGTAAAGAAAGGGGACAGCTAGAAAACGAGCGGCTTGATCGGCTTTTAGGTAGCCCCGGAAAGGTCGGGAGGAGGAGGGGCAAAGGCTGCGCTCCTCAGCTGGGAAGGAGGTGGTCCGAGCAGCCTCCAGTCCCGGGCTCAAGACCGCCAACCCGGCAAGGGTGAGGCAGCGTGCAGGGATGCAAGGGGCAGAGCGGTAGGGGCATCTGTGCACCCCGCCCACCTCTGCCTCAGTTTACCATGTACGGCCTCATTTCTCTCCGGGCTGCCGTGAGAGAAAAATGTTCTCCAGCCGAGATTTGCTTGATTTGCAAATTCAAGTGATCCATGGACACATCCGTCTTGACAGCCCCCAGGAGGCTGTGGGCTGGTTACATCCCCCTAGTTAGAAAAGAAAAAGGATTCGAGGAGAAGGGAAGGATGCAGCTTTGTCTTCACCTAGCTTTGGAGTATCAAGAAACCGTTACTGGGCGGAGTGGGGCGAGGGGGCCACAGGCTGCTCTGAGAGTGTAAAGACCAAACCCTGGTGGGACCTGGCTCCATTGCGGAGCCTCAAAACTTCCAACATGATGGAGGAAGTTGGCAGTGCCTTCTCTAGATCTTTCTTTCCATCATTAGAGAGTATAAACCCAAGCCGTGGAGTGAACGACCCCAAAGCTACTCTACACTGAACTCCTCTCTTTGGTCCTGCCACTACTGGTGAAACCACTGACCCTTGCTGGGCCTCAGTTTCCTTACCTGTCCTGAGGAGATGCTGACACCTGGCTCCAGGGAGACTGTGAGAACTCAGTGAGGGGGTCCTGCACGCCGAGGGTCCTGCACCCTGGGAGCCCTTAGGTCTGTTTGGAGAGAAAACCGTTCCTCCAGGCAAGAGGGGAGAAGTGTCCCCAGGAGGTAGGGGGAGGAGTACCTGCCCTTCTCCTCCTTCTCAGGAATCACTGGTCCTACCTCCCAGCCCCATCTGCCATTGCCAGTCAGCGCCTGACGCACTGTGAGTGTCCTGGGCCACCCCGACTTCCTCTATGAGCTCCATGCGGGGCCTCAGTCTTCACCCCAGGTAACTAGAGCTTACCACACCTGTGGCCATGCCCCCCACCCAAGTTGAAGTCCTTTCTCCAGCGCCAGCTGCTGGTGGGGAGGCTTTCAGGCTGGCCCTCAGTCCCTGGCCCCTGCCCCAGACTCGGGGTGGGGGTGGGGGGCAGGTGGGGAGGACTAGGAAGTGGCCCAGATCCTTTGTCTGTAGGGCTTGGAGTGAGGACAAAGACTACCTTCTCTGGCAAGATCCCAATCCCAAGAGCCCACTGTCTCTCCTTCCCAGTTGTTGCATGACTTTCTGAAGTCAGTTACCACTGGGACTGAAAGAAGGTGGCCTCAATGGCCGCCAGTTACTTCAGACTCCCTCAATGAGTGGTGCTGTGAGCCTACATGGTTCTTTGGAAAGGGTGGAGAGGGCACCACTAAAAGCAACAGTATCCCACACTGAGCAGGCCACCTCGTGAGAGACCAAGAGACCAGGAAGCTGGCCCTGTCACTGTTGGCCAAGCAGCCACCGACATCCTACTTGGCAAATAGAAAAAAGCCAGTGTCTCCTGGGAGGCCGGGGCAGCCATTCGGCTCCCCTCACCCATAGGTAGACTCAGACAACCCTCCCTAGATGAGTGCAGTAGTATCACTCAATTCAACCATCTCCTTTCTCAGATGGGAAACTGAGGCCTAGAGAGAGGCAGGGCCTGGTGCAGGGACTACAGTGAGTAGGGCTGGTTTACTATTGCTCCTTGTACAGAGCCATATCAAGCCCTTTTTCCCGACTTCCTCCCTCACCTCCCCCATCTTAGCAGGGCCCCTGCCCCCTCCTCACCCCCTGGCTTCTACATCTCCCTAAGGGCATAGCCTAGTGGCGGTTTCTCCCTGAGTAGGCCCAGCTAGCCTCTGTCCCATCCCCTGTTATTTGGGCCCTAACAGAAGCCACCCAAATTTGAACCATCTCTGCCCCATGCTCAAGACCTGAGGGTCTCACATCCTCAAAATGGTCGCCAGATTCCAGATTCAAGGATCACACTGTTCATCAGCTGTCACTAAACTTATTTTACTACAAGCCATCCTCCTGGGATAGTTCCTTGGTCAGTTTGTGGGGGAGGGGTCATTTTCAGGATGGAGGCCTCATGTCTAGATTTTGGGGAGTCAGAAGACTAGTGCAGCCCAGTCCTCACCCCATTCCACAGGTGTACACCCCTAGCTCCTTGGACACTGACCAGGACCATTTCCTGCAGCCCCAGGCCAGCCCTGCAGCATGAGCAGAGGGCGGCTTTGGGAATGAGGCCCTGAGGGCTGGAAGGAGAATGCCCAGCGCCTAGGGAGCTTTGGGAGACCGCAGCTGGCTCCAGGGGCTGACAGAGCCAGGGTCCTGCCCCCGGTCGCCCAAAACACCTCCCTCGCAGGTCTGTCTCTGGCCCCCCTGGCTCCTGCTAGACGCAGCCTCCCCGTCACCCGACCCCAGGGCAAACCAGCAGATAAACCCCTTTTCGGCGAAAATTACACAAAACCGCCGGCGGCGGGGCCTCCTCTGCTCAGGCACTGCCGCGTTCGCGGCCGAAAAAAGAGGCTCCCAGAGAACGGGAACCCCCTCCCTGTCTAGGACACCGAGGCCGAGAGAGGGGAAGCCTCCACCCCAGTGGGGTGCAGTCTGGGATCGCAGTCCCCACCCCAGGGGCGCAGCTGCCAGCCCGACGCCTGGGACATCCCCCCTCCCGAGGCCTCTAGCCGCCGCCGCGAAAATCCCGGAAACCGTCCCGCTCGCGGCGGGCGCAGTGGAAAAGGTGACCTCAGCGCCCCGGGCCAGCCGCCCTCCCTAGCAGCCGGGCGGCGAGGGGCTCCGGGCGGCAGGGGGTCCTCGGCGCCGCCCAGTCGTTGGATGAGGGCCCTCGGAGCGCAGAACCGGCCTCCTCCCCACCCATGTTCTGCCCCTCACACCCTACAGCCCCTTTGGAGGTTGCGGGACTGGGAGGGGACCACCTCATTCCCACAACCGAATCCCCTAAGCATTCAGGTGTAGGTTGCAGAACCGCCTCCTCTCCACCCACACACTTCTTCTACTCCAGCGCCTCCCAGACGGGACTGTGAAATGGCTCCGCGCGCGAAGGGGTCCGGGAGCCGTTCGTTGTACGGGGGGGAAGCTGAGTCTGGAAGAAGCACTCGGGGCGGGCTCAGCGGCCATCGGCCAGGGGATCGTGCATTGCTTGGCGGACGCTGGGCTCTCCTCCATCTGCCTCGGCCGTGGGCAGTTTGTTTCCGCTCCCACTTGCAGCGGGTCTGCATCTTAATTGGCAAAACGAAGTTGGGGCCGCGGTGGAGCGGGGGCTTCTTCCAGAACGGTCAGCTCACCTCCGGCTGCAGTCGTCCCAGCAGCCGCCTGCGGGGGGTCCCACGCCCTCTTACTGGTTGACGTCCAGCCCCTAGGGGCCCAGGTGGCCCCGGGCCACCTCATCTCGCGGCCTTCTGCTCCCGGCAGCCTTGCGCCCCCGCCGCCCAGCACACTGTCCGTCCCTGGGGACGCGTCACTAGCGCTGGGAATAGAGCTCGTTTCCTCTTTTCTTCTTCTTTTTTTTTTTTTTTTTTTTTTTTTTTTTTTTTTTTTTTTTTTTTTACCTTTGGTTCTGATTATCTAGGCTGTTGGTGCCGTGTTGGTGGTGCTATTGGGACTGGGGCACCGGCCTTGGCCGCAGGTGTGCTGTGCCCGACAGAGGCCGCCTGGACCTCGCTCGGAACGCACCGTCCGGATGGGCTGCGGCGTTCGCCTTGCTTTTGCCCCGAGCAGAGACTGGCAATATCTTTCCTAGCTTCAAAACAGAAAATCTTGGAATTATAAAATTACCCCGTCCCCATGCTTACAGGTTTATCTCCTGGAGACCACCAACTCGCTTTCTCTTTGGAGAAGCCAGTCTCTGTGATGCTTTCTTCCATGAAAATTTCGAACTCAAATGTGGGCATTCGTTTTGAGTCATTTCAAAGCCCTAGAAGCTCGGGGTCAAATTGTGTTTGGGGTGATAGCGCCTTTAGACACATCCCCCTCTCTTTCCAAGCTCCACCTCTTGGAGCAATTTACAAATTTGTTCCTTTGGAATTCGCTACTTTATTTTTGTTTTATAAGTTTTGTTGTTGATTTTTTTTAAATGTCTAATTTTCTATGGAAGTATGAGTTTAAATACATCCAACAGCCCAGCATAGTGGCAAGCGCCTGTAGTCCCAGCTTCTGGGCAGGTTGAGGTAGGAGGATTCCTTGAGCCCAACAGTTCGAAGCTGCAGTGAACTATGATTGCCCCACTGCACCAGCCTGGGCGACAGATCCAGACCCCGTCTCTTAACTAAAATAATAAATAAAAATGAAAGATAGATCCTTAGATAGGTAATAAAAAACTCGCTCCAGCGACCCGGAGATGACCCGGTTCTTGGTCTAGGAACCCGAGGTGATGCTCCTGGACATGCAGAGCTGCCAGCCCGCCGCTACCCTCCCGGCGTCCAGGGCCTGGAGGGTCCCGCCTCCATTTCACACCCA